ATCTGCTCTTCTCAGTGAGATTCACACAGTTCTCCCCTGTGTCCTCCTTGTTACTTATCTTCTTTGGGTCTGTGTTTTGCAGCATGTTCGTCTTTTATGTTATGGTTAATATCCATGTTTAAGTGAGTGCACATCATGTTTGCTTTCTGGGTCTGATTTATCTCACTGTGGTTGATCTTTTCTAGTTCCATTCGTTTAAGTAAAAATTTCATCATTTTTTTAAATAGCAGAGTAATCCTCCATTGTGTAGATACACCACATTTTCTTTATTCATCCTTCAGCTGAGGGTCATTGTAGTTGTTTCCAGTCTGTGGCTATTATGAATAAAGCCGCAAGGAACATTGGGGAGCACGTGTCCTTTTGATCACATGTCCTTTTGAGGTGATGGAGCATCTTTTTGGTATATACCCAGGAGTGGTGTATCTGGATCTTGAGGGAGATAGATTCCCAGATGTCTGAGAAAATGCCAAAATGATTTCTAAAATTGTTGTATAAGTTTGCACTCCCACAAAAAATGGAGGAGTGTTCCCCTGGTTCTACTTCCTCACGAGCATGAGTTGTCACTTGAGTTTCGACCTTAGCCACTCTGACAAGTCTGAGATAGAATCTCATTGTGGTTTTGATTTGTATTTCTCTGATGACTAATGATGTTAAACATTTCTTTAAGTGTTTCTCATCCATTTGAGATTCCTATTTGAGAATTCTCTGTTTAAATCTGTATCCTATTTTTTAATTGGGTTGTTTGGCTGTTGATGTCAAGTTTCTTGAGTTCTTTATATATTTTGGACATCAGCCCTCTCAGATACAGGATTGGTAAAGATATTTCCCCATTCTGTAGGCTGCCATTTGTCCTTTTGATGGAGTCCTTTGCGTTGCAGAAGCTGTTCAGCTTTATGAGATCTCATTTATTATTTGTTGATCACAGTGCCTGATTACCTAGTGGTGTTCTGTTGAGGAACTTCTCTCCTGTGCCAATTCAGTTGAGTTTTGTGCAGAGTGATAGATATGACTCTATTCACATTTTTCTACATGTAGACATCCAGTTAGACCAGCACCCACTAGTGAAGATGCTTTTTATTTTTTTAAACCTCTATTGTATAATCTTGGCTTCTTTGTCAAAAACCTGTTGTCCATAGGTGTGAGGATTTAGTTCTGGAGTTTCCATTTGATTCTCTTGATCATCCTGTCTGGTTTTATGCAAATACTATGTGGTTTTTATTATTATTGTTCTGTAGTAAACCTTGAAATCAGGGATGGTGATACCTCCAGAAGATCTTCTATTATTCAAGATTGTTTTAGATATTTTCAGTTTGTTTGATTGATTTTTGGTTCTGATTTTCTGTATGAAGTTGAGTATTGTTCTTTCAAGATCTGTAAATAATTGTGTTGGAGTTTTGATGGGGAGTGTGCTGAATCTGTATATTTCTTTTTGGTAGGACAGCCATTTTTACTATGTTAATCCTACCAATTCATGAGCATGGGAAATCTTTCCATCTTCTGATATCTTCTTCAATTTCTTTCTTCAAAGATTTGAAGTTCTTGTCATACAGGTTGCTTGGTGAGAGTTACACCAAGATATTTTATATCATTTGTGGCTATTGTGAAGGGTGTTGTTTCTGTAATTTCTTTCTCAGACCATTTATTGTTTGTATATAGGAGGTTTCTGACTTTGAGGGGGGTGGTAATTTTGTTTCCAGCCATTTCACTGAAGGTATTTATTTATCAGCTGTGGGAGTTCACTGGTAGAAGTTTTGGGGTCAGTTATGTATACTCTCATATCATTTGTGAACTGTGTTGCTTTGACTTTTTCCTTTCCAATTTGTAACCCTTTAATCTTTCTCAGTTGTCAAGAACTATATTGAGTAGATACAGAGGGAGCTGACAGCCTCGCCTTGTCTCTGATTTTACTGGTGTAGGCATAATGTTTTATACGCTGTGTAAAGTTTACACTTGGGTTACTCAAATGTATCTTGTTTATGCACAGCCTGGACAGTTTGTAAAATGGTCAACACTGGAGCAGAAGTCACCATTGTCTCTCCAAAGTCTTGGTTTCCAGACTGGCTACGTCAAGAGATAGATATCCAACTTCCACTAACTGGGACTTTGTCCCAGATAAAACAAAGTACTTGATGGCTTAGATGTACAGGTCCTGAAAGTCAAATAGGAAAGTCAAGGTTGTATAGTGGAATTAAGTTTCTGTCCTTTCAATTTGATGTTGGCTATCAGCTTGCTGTATATTGTCTTTATTGTTTGGCAATGTGCCTATTTTTCAAGATTCTTATCATTAAGTGGTGTTGGATTTTGTCAAAGGCTTTTTGGAACATCTAATGAGATGAATATGTGTTTTGTTTCTTTCAGTTAATTTATATGGTGGATTACATTGATGGATTTCCATATGTTGAACCATCCCTGCCTCTCTGGGATGAAGCCTACTTGATCATGATGGATGATCTTTGTGATGTGTTCTTGGTTTCAGTTTGAGAATATTTTACTGAGCATTTTCACATCCATATTTTTGAGGAAAAATGGTCTGACTTTTTTCTTTGTTGAGTCTTTGTGTGATTTTGGTATCAGGATGATTATGGCCTAATAAGATGCCTTGGTGATGTTCCTTCTGTTTCTATGTTTTGGAATAGTTTGAGGAGTATTTGTATTAGCTCTTCTTTGAAAGTCTGGTAGAATTTTGTGCTAAAACCACCTGGTCCTTGTCTTTTTGGGGGGGGGCAGGGGGGACTTTTAATGGCTGCTTCTATTTCCTTAGGGATTTCCTTAGGCCTATCAGGTTGCTTATCGGATCATGATTAAATTCGGTAAGCGATATCTATCAAGAAATTTGTCTATTTCTTTTAGATTTTCCAATTTTGTGAAGTACAGGTTTTTGAAGTATGACCTAATGATTCTTTGGATTTCCTCAGTGTCTTTTTAGTTCTGATTTTGTTAATTCTGATATTTTCTCTTTGCCTTTTAGTTTGGCTAAGGGTTTGTCTGTCTTGTTGATTTTCTCAAAGAACCAGCTCTTTGTTTCAGTTTCTTTTATTGTTCTCTTTGTTTCTATTTTGTCTATTTCAGCCCTGAGTTTCATTATTTCCTGCCATCTACTCCTCTTGGGTGTGTTTGCTTCTTTTTGTTCTAGAGCCTTCAGGTATGTTGTTAAGTAGATAGTATGAGATCTTACTAATTTCTTTATCAAGGCATATAGTGTTATGAACTTTTCTCTTAGCTCTGCTGGCATCATGTTCCATAAGTTTGGGTAAGTTGTGTATTCATTTTCATTTAATTCTAGAAACTCTTTAATTTCTTTCTTGATTTCTTCCTTAACCCAGTGGTCATTGACTAGAGATTTGTTCAGTTTCCATGAGTGTGTAGGCTTTCTGTTGTTCTTATTGTTATTGAGGTCCAGCATTAAAACATAGTGGTCTGAGAAGATACATGAGATTATTTCAATTTTCTTGTATCTGTTGAGACTTGCTTTGTGACAGAGTATATAGTTAATTTTGGAGAAGTTTCTGTGAGTTGCTGAGAAGATGGTATACTCATTTGTATTTGGGTGAAATGTTATATAGATATCTGTTTGGTCCATTGAGTCATGATGTCTATAAATTCTATTATTTCTCCATTTAGTTTCTGTCTGGATGTGATGATCTGTTCATTAGTGAGAGTGGGGTGTTGAACTCTTCCACTATTAATGCATGGTGTCTGATCTGTGACATCAGCTTTACTATTGTTTATTTTACAAATGTGGGTGCCTTTGCATTTGGGGTAAGGATAATTCAGAATTGAGACATATCTTGATGGATTTTTCCTTTGGTGAGTGTGAACTGTCCTTCCTCCTCTCTTTTGATTAATTTTGATTTAAAGCCCATTTTATTAGATAGTAGAATGACTATACCAGCTTGCTTTTTGGGTCCATTTGCTTGGAAACATCTTTCTCTACCCCTTTGCTTTGAGATAATGTCTTTGATGTTGAGGTGTGTTCTTGTATGCAACAGAATGATGGATTCTATTTTTGTACCTAGTCTATCAGCCTGTGTCATTTTATTGGGAAATTGAAACCACTGATGTTGAGAGATATTAATGACCATCAATTGTTAATTCCTGGGCTAAACCTCTAAAATGTAAGCCAACCCCAATTAAATGCTTTCTTTTAAGAGTAGTTGTGGTCATGGTGTCTCTTCACAGCAACTAAACACTGACTAAGATGGGGCACAGGTAATTTGAAAATAGTCACATAGATAATTAAGATGTAGTTTTTGAAGGGAAGAAATAAAATGCTAAAGGAAAAAAATCTCTGCGAGTTTACAGTCAGCTTGGTCTACATAGTAAGTTTGAGGACAATCAGAGCTACATAGTAAGACTGGCAATAGAACAATTAAGGAGAGCTGGGAGGGAGAACTCACTTCCTCTCCATCACGGCTCCACCCACCCCAAATTCTCCCAAAGAGAAACCTACATCAATCAAGAGGAAACTAACTAACTTTGCTGTAAGTGATGGGTTTGTTGTTGTTGTTTATTTTCTTTCTGTTTTATTTTAAAACACAACAACAATAACCATCTTGGGGATCTTTTAGGAATTTATAATGTAGACCCCATCTATACTGACTCAGGAGAAAGATGCATAATCCAACGGAAGATCTGTTTTCAGACGGCTTTTTGAATTCACATAAGATGACCTAAACAATCACAATGGAAAAGATGCAGGCTTCAGCATTAGATAGTATCAGACAGCATCCCTCTTCTATAGTGTAATAGCTACTGATCTATGGGACCCGGTACCTCAGTTTCCACCTCTTCAAGATGATGATGCATTAGGTTAATATAGCAATTTAGTGGAAAGGCATATAGGAAATGTTAATCACTTTATATATAATGTTATAGAAGGACTCAATGGAAGATTTAGGGTTTTGTGAATCATGTTAGCCATGCCTTAAAATGATCTGGATAGGCCCACTCTCCTACCTGTCCAAATACTTTGTCTGAGGAAAAAACAATTGTTCCCAACATGTGACTATAAATCAGTTTTATTTTGCCTTTGAACTAGGAAAACATTAGCCTACACATCTGATCCATTCATAAAATTCTAATTTAAGCAAAAGAAAGAATGGCACATTGAAATGTTAGATATTGTCCTTTTTTCCTACTTAGTCAGTTACAAAGAACTTATAGTTGGGTGAACAAATATTTAAGGCATAGAATCATTCCTCTACAGGTTTATTCTCAATTCCACAAAATGCCCCATTCCCACGACTTCCTTAGCTTTGGAACCAACTGTTTAAATACACAGAGATATTGTTTTAGTAATATGTTGTGCAGATGCCCAAACTGTAAACTCTAAGATCTACAGTTTTTCTTGCTGGTTCTTCAAAAATGTTGCCCCAAGAAAGTTATAATGCAAATTTATTGCAGGTATAAAGTCAAAAGATCTAAAATATTCTTATATAATTTTTTTTTGAGACAGGGTTTCTCTGTGTAGTCCTGGCTGTCCTGGAACTCACTCTGTAGACCAGTTATATAAATTTTAAAACCTTTGATCACTATCTTAATTTTTCATAAACACAATAGAGAAATTATATTACAGAATCACATAAACAAAATTTACAATAATCAATACAAGCTCACAAATAAGAGAACTTACTTTTTAAAAAAACATTTATGATTAAAAAATGACATTTAAGGTAAAGTGCTATTCCAAAACAAGTATTTCATTTTAACTTTGAATTTTTACAGATATACCCGAAGTATTTTTAAAATTGCAAATAACAAAGTGAATGGATTCAAAACTAAAATCCCAGGCTGAGTAAAAACAGAACATTCAAATTTCTCTGTAAAAAGCTACGATGAACTAGTATCCATCAAATCAAACCAGTATCTCATTATGAAAGCAATACAGCAACATAAACACACCCAGTTCAAGGGAGGACTCAGCCACTCAGCCATTCCTCAATGCTTTGTTATTTCTCCCAGCACCATGTCTGGCAAAAGCCACTCTGAGACCACTTGGGGACAGTAGGTTACATGGCCTTTGAGATCAAAATGTTTCCTTGTGACTTGTATTTAAACTCTTGAACAATTAAAAAAAACTCATTTAATTATGTAACTTGTCCTTCTTTGCAGATGGGACATGATTGGGGATTCAGGAATTGTCATTGTGTGGATTTGAAAACAGCTGGAGATATGATGGGGGATCCACCCTTCTTCTTTTTTATCCTTGTCCTCTCTGATCTAAAAATTCAGAAAGGATTCCAAGTCCCAGGAAAGTCTGGCTTTCAAGAAGGAACAGACACTTCCAAGCCAGTGAGTCAGATTTATGACTATGATCCAACAAGGGACACGGTGAGCTCCAACGGCCATCTTGTATGATAAGAAAACCCTCAAGCCCTCTTCTGGATAATGATGAACCTAAAGACTGCTTTGCAAAGAAGACTCCCACCAGATACCTGCTGATTCGAGAATTCAACTACTGCTCAATTGGAATACTGTCAACATTTTTCTATTCCTAAAAGGAATGTGTATAAAGTTCAAATTAGATCTTTTTTTTTCTTCAGATTCCTGGGGTGTTACACTCACTTCAGAAAAGATGGAGCAGTTATTCCACCATTGAACAATTTATGTCACATTTAGAGTCAGTATGTGGTAGTGACAGAAGTGCGTGTTGGGGGCACAGCTTGAAGAAAAGAGCTTCCTGTTTCAACAAGACAGTTTCAAATAAAGTATTACCACCAGCCACCCTCTGAAGTCCATTCTAGCCATGGTGTCTGATGATGGTTGGGTCTCTCAAAGTCATGTCTACCCACTGGAAGAGGCAAGGGAAACTGATAAGAGAACATCTGCTGTACATTAATCATTGCCTTTCAAAGACTCTCAAGAACTTCTTTGCCACTCTAAACATTGAAGCACTCTGCCCTTAAGCCACATCTGAATCTTCTTCTGTTCAGAATGAGGGGGTGGGGCCGATTTTGTGATGACAAAACTGTTCTCAATGGCCTCTGCCTTGGAATTGCCCTGAAATACCCCCCTGAAGCTATGTTTGTAGTGAGTACAAATCCCAAATGAGAAAACTCCAGGCTACTGCAGATTTCTTTGTTGCTCGTTGTTTTCCCCATATAAATATATTAGCAAAACAGTATTAATAATTTACTTAAGAGGTGATACTCTGTCAAAATAAAATATTTCCAGACCATGAACAACCTGGTGGCCTGGGGTCCATCAGCCTTGAAGATTCCCAGGGAGGAGGCCACACAGGTCATGTGAGGTTGCAACCAGACCTGGCTTTAGCCAGGGATTCCTCATCTTTCTGATCTAACTCCCTTGCTACAGAGTAGGCCACTGATCCATTGGTCCACAGATGCAGCTTGGGATCTGAGTCTTTGGCCAGGAAAGGCACCTGTGTTCTCTTCATTCTCTTTACAATTCTAGCGAAGCCAAGCAGGATGGAACTAAATATCATGGCAAATCCACAGAGAAGGAAGGCAGCAGTGTAGCTGCCTGTCGTGTCCACCAGCCATCCTACAACAAAGCAAAACCACAGTGCTGAACCAACAATTCAATTAGTGGATTACCCACTCTCAAATTTAGTCATTTGTCAGGAAAATCTCCATAGGCTACAGCACATCATCCTTGCTTTGAACGAAAAGCAGATGGCCCCAAAATATCTTGCAGCAACTGAGAAATATATAAATTAATAATTGCTATTAAGTGAAGGACGTAGGAGAGTCCTCTGTGTTTGCTACTCATACAATAAATATTAGTGATTATTAGCTCCATGAAATCCGGTTAAAATTCATGATTGCATTTCACAGTCTGTAGCTTTAAACATCATTCGAATTATTGAAGTTGGGATCATTGATATAAGAATTAAGTAGACATACAAAATGCTAATAGGATTCTCAGAACCCATAGACTACTTTAGGGAACTCTGGTGCAGCATCCAGTTGTCAATGGAAGACTGATTTCATCCATACCTTATTTGAAAATTAGAACTCTGGACCACTGCTTCTCAGACTTTTGGCTAAGATCACATGCACAACATCGTGTTGTGTATTGTTTTAAATGCCTACACCTGAGGTCCTACATCTATAATCACAGATTTACTTTTATTTTTGTTGCTGTTGTAACACATCAATCCCAATATCTCTGTCAGCCACAAAATGGAAGGACAACCGTGTTTTGTGATAGAAAATATGGGTCACAAGGATCAGAGAATCAGAGAGTAAAGTTTTACTTTGGCAGGCAATTGGTTTGTAGTTGACAAGGAGCATCTATAAATTTTCCTTAAAACATCATTTATATGCCAAGGAAATCCACCAGGAAAGTATGCAGCTTCTCGTTTCACCCACTTCAAATCCAAAAATCAAAGTGGAATAGAAAAATTCATTCTTATTCCACAGTTTCCCATGATCCATGTTCCCTACACATATTTTTGTTAAGGTCTTATTTACATGTGGACTTCTATAGGGATAAAGTAATTACTTTGCATTAAAATAGAATCTTAATTTCCTCTCTCATAAACCTCTAGATCACATTCTCTAAAATATACTATAGTCGTTATCTGTTTGCATGAAAACTTGACCATTACCAACATTTGGTACAAACAAATGATAAGCAAAGAACCCGGAGAAAGCCCTGCCCTCTGCCTGGCTCTCTCCTTTTAGCCTCACTACCCACTGCTCTGTTTTGGAAGCAGACTTCCTTCTGATCATGCCCTACTTACAACTGGAGCAAATGTTCTATTCTTTTACTTCTATCTTTAGTCTAAACTGGAACCAAGACCCTAACTTGGGACTTTCTCTTTCCAGGCAAGCTACCATCCTTACTTGGTTGGGAAAAGATTATAAAGGCAGAATGTGGGTAGGACCATGGTTCTTTGGTACCTTTTGTATCCCTACAACCTTTCACTCTTTCCCAGCTCACTTGAAAGCTTTTTCTCATTTTTGGCATTTGAGCTATATACAGAAATGAGGGTTCACTTCCTCTACATCAGTATGATGACAGTGGCTAGTAGATTTTGAAAGCTTACCTGCAATAGGTGGGCTCACCAAGTATGGCACTGCATGAAGGAAGTAGACCACACCAAGGGCTGATGACAAAGAGGTGGTCCCTACTATCTCCGCAGTCACTACTGGGATCAAGGTAACGTAGGCTCCATCAAAGTAGCCAAAGGTACAAGAGAAAGGCACGAGAAGAGGGAAGCTTTGAAGCATTGGGAGACACAGATAGCACAGCCCATCTAGTGCCACAGCAAAGAGGTAGCAAACATATCGGTAATTCTTCAGACACCTACGGATGTGAAAAACCATAATGAATATGGGACACACAGATTCCGTAAAAGAGATATTGAGCCTATCCATGCAGCTGTAAGCACTGCAGCTGTTTACACAAATACCTTTCTATTTGTGTTATCTTACACACACACTCACACACACACACACACACACACACGTGTGTGTGTGTAAGTACGTGAGCATATATGCATTGGCTCCCATGGAGGCCATACTGGATTCCCTGGAACTAGAGTTACAGGAAGTTGTGAGCTGGTCAGTATGGGTGCTAGGAACTGAATTCCATCCTTCTGCAAAAGAAGCAAGTGTTCTTTACTGCTAGGACATCTTGCCGGCTCCTGTTACCCG